CAGTGTTGCCCGGGTCCAGCCACAGCCTGGCCCTGTGGGCATTGGCTCATTCTCCTCATGGCCGCTCCCGGGGGCCGCTGGCTTTAGTTCTGGCAGCCTTCCTGCCAGCCCCAGCCCTCGTGCTGACACTGTTGTGGCATTGCCAACAAGGCACACTTCTGCCCCCACTCCTTCCAGGACCCCTGGCCCGTCTGTGCCTTCTCATCCTGCAGTTGGCTGCACTGTTGGCCTATGGACTGGGCTGGGCAGCCCCTGGAGGGCCACAAGAACCCTTGGTTCATGATCCCCTCCTGTCTGAGGGGCAGGAAGCTGAGGTAGCTGAAGATGGAGAGAGTTGGTTGTCACGTTTTTCTTATGCCTGGCTGGCACCCTTGTTGGCTCGTGGGGCCCGTGGAGAGCTCCGGCAGCCCCAGGACACTTGCCACCTCCCTCACAGGCTGCGTTCAGCCTACCTGGCCCGTGCCTTCCAGGCACACTGGCAGGAAGGGGCCCAGTTGTGGAAGGCCCTGTATGGAGCCTTTGGGCAGCGCTACCTGGCACTTGGACTGCTGAAGCTAGTAGGGACCATGCTGGCATTCTCAGGGCCCTTGCTGCTTTCCCTGCTGGTGAGCTTTCTGGAGGAGGGGCAGGAACCACTAAGCCATGGCCTACTCTATGCCCTGGGACTAGCCAGTGGGGCTGTGCTGGGCGCTGTGCTGCAGAATCAGTATGGGTATGAGACACGCAAGGTGACACTGCAGGCCCGGGGAGCCGTGCTGAGTATCCTGTACCACAAGGCTTTATACCTGGGGCCTAGCCGCCCTCCTGCCGGGGAAGCCCTAAACCTGCTAGGCACCGACTCTGAGCGGCTGCTTAACTTTGCCGGAAGCTTCCATGAGGCATGGGGCCTGCCCCTGCAATTGGCCATCACCCTTTACCTGCTGTACCGCCAGGTTGGCGTGGCTTTCGTGGGTGGTCTGATCTTGGCACTGCTCTTGGTACCTGTCAACAAAGTGATCGCCACCCGCATCATGGCCAGCAACCAGGAGATGCTGCAGCACAAGGACTCACGGGTTAAGGTGAGAAGCTACTTGGGGCCCTTCGGCAACCTGGAGACCCCTCCCAGCATCCCACCCCACTGTCCTCCCATGCACACTGTCTGAGGGAGTCAGCATGACCTGGAAAAAGACAGACCTGGGGTCAAGTCCTGATCCTACGGCTTACTAGTTAGTCCAGCTGCCTCAGACAAGTCATTTAACTTGTTTGGTGCTCCACTTCCTTGTCCATAAGATGACGATAATAATAGCTCACCTGACGGGGTTGTTGGGAGACTCAAACGGGATAATACTTAGCATAGTGCCTGCCACAATGTAAGTGCTAAATAAATGCGCCCCACTAGTGATATCATCCTTTGAGCTCATGTAGCCGTAAGCAGCAACCCTAAGAGGTAGGAAGAAATCTTCCTGGAACCAAATGGCTTTGTAGTGACAGAGCTGGGACCCAGTTCTGCCACCCACAGGTCTCCCATCTCTTCTGAGGTACTGACCACCCCATGGCTCCATGTGGTGGGCTGGGCTGTGGGGAAGGAAGTAGGTCTCTCTTCTGTCTAGGCCATCTGTAGACGGTGAGGGTGTGGCTGAACCAGTTCTGGATTCTGCAGTGATTTGTGGATAACTGTCAGACCCAGGGGTCCATACTACATGTTGGCCACCTCTTACTGGAACAGCTCAGAGTGCTAATGGGATGGGGGTGGGAGTTCCCTGATAGCTGGTTATGTCAAGCCCTTTTCCCCGACCTGTAGAGTCTTTAGGGCTGCCTGGGGAGGCTCCTGTTGCCCCCTTAGATGGTAGGGGTATATGTAAATATTAAGATCCAGGGAGTTCCTCTGGCCCTTGTTCCTCGTACCCGGGCCTGTTGGCCTGTTTGACTATGTCCTCTATATGTACTCCCATAAGAATAGTTCCTTTATCACTCAAGCCATGGGCTAGAATGGGTAGAAGCCCCACATCTCATGTCCTTTTCACTTTGAGAAATAATCTCTTGTTCTCCATCTAATGGGAGGAGTATCTTACCCCAATGTAGTGACCTGCCTGTATCTTCTATTGGCGTGGCCCCCAGCCTCTTCGCACCGGTTCCGTGGGAGGTAATTTTTCCACGGACAGGGGTTCAGGGGATGGTTTATGAGAGCGTGAAAACGTAGATCCCTTGCATGTGCCGTCCATGGTAGGGTTTGTGCTGCTATGAGAATCTACCATCACCACTGGTTTGACAGGAGGAGGAGCTTGGGTCAGTCATGTGAGTGATGGGACGTGGCTACAAACACAGATGAAGCTGCGCTCACCTGCCCACTCCCCTCTCGTGCAGCCTCGTTCCTAACAGTCCATGGACTGGTACTGGACCATGGCCCCGAGGGCTGGGCTCCTGTTCTGGGTAGAGAGGGGAGCTCCAACTTGCCCCATGTTGGAGCAAATGGAAAAGTAAAGCCTGGGAGGGTAGAGAGGCGAGCAACCCAGGGCCGAGAAAGATCTGAGGGGCAAGATTTCCAGCAGGGACTGTGACGAAGAAGAAAACAAGGGCTACGGAGGAACAGACGTCTGGGAGTTCAGAGTACTTGACATTCTGCCAGGAGCCTGGAGTACCTTGGCAGAGGAGAAGACACAGCAGTGTCTGCATCTCACTCTGCTCTCTTGTCCCCATCCCTAGCTCATGACCGAGCTGCTGAGTGGTGTTCGAGTCATCAAGTTCTGCGGGTGGGAACAGTCACTGGGGGCTCGAGTAGAGGCCTACCGGGCTCGAGAGCTGGGACGACTTCAGGTCATCAAATACCTGGACGCGGTCTGCGTGTACCTGTGGGCTGCCCTGCCGGTTGTCATCTCCATCGTCATCTTCATCACCTACGTCCTTATGGGACACCAGCTCACAGCCACCAAGGTGAGGCCCAGGAAAGAAGGGGAAGGCACAGGAGGAAGGTGACATTGAGGAGATGCAGCAGAGTGGAGAGCTAGGCCAAGCCCTTGGTGCTGGTTGGGAAGGGAGGACATGGGTCCAACCCCTAACTGCCTCATCCTTCCCCAGCCAAGGGGAAACTCTAAAGGGACCTTTATCTGGGAGCTCAGCTATGTAACCCTCTCTTCTATGTAACCCTTCTTCCTGCCCATCAGGCCAGGCTTGAGGTTAAATCCCTTTATCCTCATTCCCATGGTCTTGGGAAAAAATTCATGATCCAGTGTTGGGTCTGGCCAGGGCCAGTGATGTTGCTACCAAGAAATGTTGAGGAGGTCTCAAAATGATCTAGGTCTATGTGTGTCTCAAGATGCAGCCTGGGGCTAGCTGCGGTGGTGTAGCTGTAGTACAGTACTCTGTAGTTCCGAAGTCATATGGGAAGGTCTTGGGTTCACATCCCAGGGTCGCGTGCACACCAGGTCTACACATGCCTGTGAGCCTGGCTGGCAGAAGTTGGAGGAGGGATTGCACTATGGGGACCCTGCTGGTGCCTCTCTGTCTCTCTTTCTCTGTCACCTTCTCTTATGGAGAAAATAGATGGGAGGGACTTGTTTAAAAAATTATGCAGTCTTGATCCCTGCACCAAAATCTAGAATTTCTAGACTTCTTAGTGCAGCTGCCCCTGGTGCCTCTAATTCAAGCATCGTCCACCTGACCCCTCGTTCTGCGGCTGCCCTGGTCTCTCCTCTACAGACCTGTCCACAGGGTTACCCATAGAACAGACCCTGGGCTTCAGGTGATACTTCCGCCCCCCTCAGGTGTTCACGGCCCTGGCTCTGGTACGCATGCTCATTCTCCCCCTCAACAACTTCCCTTGGGTGATCAATGGCCTTCTGGAGTCCAAAGTGTCCCTTGACCGGATCCAGCGTTTCCTTGACCTTCCAAACCACAACCCCCAGGCCTACTACAGTCCAGGTAATGGGATGTCAGAGGCGGAACATGGTGTAAGGGGAGGAGGGAAGTGTGCAGAGATGGTGCCAAAAAGTCTGAAGCGGCAGGATCCAAGCAGAGCAGACCAAGGCCAAGACCGAGTTAGCTTTGGGCAAGGCAGATGGGGGCAGGCGAGTCAGTGACTGGTTTACCCTTTCCACGCAGGTTGGGACTAGATTAGGAGCCCAGGGTTAGTGTCTTCTTCCCTGTTCAGATCCCCCCATAGAGCCATCCACCATATTGGAGCTGCATGGAGCCCTGTTTTCCTGGGATCCAGTCGGAACCAGTCAGGAGACCTTCATCAGTCACCTCGAAGTGAAAAAGGTTTGTTGGAGAAGTCCTTAGACTGATGAGGGAGATGGGGACTCAGTGACAGCTAAAGGAAGACTGAGCCAGGAGTAGCCGACGACTGAAAGCTCTAAGTGCTGAGGAAGGGAGTGGACGGGTTTGGGGAACAGGTTACAGTCCGAGAGGAGGGGCACCTCTTCTCTGAATCTCATTCCTTTGTGCACAGACCTCTCCGTCTCTTCAGGCGGCTCACACCTACCCAGTCCAGCCCAAAAGCTGTGTTTGTCTCTCCATGTCCCTCAGAAGCTATAGAACTCATGACAGGTCGTAGTGCTTATTCAGCATCTCCCCAAGGCTGGACACTTGGGGGAGAGGCCCAGCAACCCCTTCCAGGAAAGATTTTTCAAGTGGGTTAGATGATCCTCCATTTAGCCTGGTGAAAAGCGTTCACACCCTGTGACTCACATATAACACACTGTCAAAGAAGAACTTCAAACAGGAACATGCCTGGCAGGATGAAGACTCTTGTTTACCCCCAGTCCTGAGTTTTTCCTCTCTCCTGACCTTCGTCCAACCCCTTGTCCCGCAGCTCAACCCAGCCTTCCCTAGTGGTAGCTGAATTGCCTCCTTCACGTTTGGCTCATGTTTCTGGCTTGGGCTGTATGTTTTGTTTTTCCTCTTAGTTCAGGCAAGACAAGGCTGGAATCTTTCAAAGGAATTTTACTAATGTGTTGGTAGGTGCTTTTTAAGATATAAGTCATAGAAACTTACTGGAGCTAGCTTACGCAAACAGAACTTTGTAATAAGGATCTAGAAATGAATGGAAGAATCCAAAGGTGAGGATGCAGCTGGATCTTAGAAACAGCCCAGAGCCAGGCCCCAGCTTGCAGAACTCTGCCTTGTGCCTGCTGCCGTCTCTGTATTCACCTCATTCTCCTCTCCGTGGGTCTACTCTCCACTGAGAAGACGTGACTGCAGAAAACTTAGAGGCTGCAGCAAGAGCCAGAAGGCGCCTCTGGCTCCTGATCCCAAAACGCCAGGGAAGGGTCACAGATTACCCTGGCGCCCACTTGTGGGTGGGTCAACCTAGGTGGGGATAGCACAGATAAGTAGAAATTCTAGGAGCCTAGCCATTTCTAGAGAAGAAAAAAATTCTTTTTGAGCAAGGAGACAGCTCCTTCAATGTATGTCCCAGCTAAGAAATGAAGGAAAAACAAGACATTTTAAATTGCAGAATCCCAGAAATTGGCCTCGATGTACAACACCGGTTTTTGCCCTGAGATATTAGATGAGCCACAGGTCGATTGAGCCAGCCCAGCATCCAGGCCCCAGACACTGGAGTCCTTCCCCATCCCTGTCTTGGTTGTCCACCTCAGAGCTTACGTGGCGGGTTCTTGGGCGTTTTCCTCCCATTCTTCAGAGGCCCTTCACACAGATAGGAAAACCAATAGTAACTCTGAGTGGAGAATAAAACACCTTACTTCTTTATCTCCAGTAAGGGGTCAGTCACCCTCAGCCTGGGGCGAAGAATTTCCCTGTGGTCTAATCAGGGACTGGAGAGAAGCCTTACTGGGAGCACTGGCAGCAGAGATCCTAGGAGGGAGACTGCTGCCCGCTTGTTCCTTCCCCAGCAAACAGCAGACCCTTCCTTGTGTGGCTTTCTTGCAGGGTATGCTGGTGGGCATCGTGGGGAAGGTGGGCTGTGGCAAGAGCTCACTGTTGGCCGCCATTGCTGGGGAGCTCCACAGGTAATCAGCCTCCAGCACACTCCCTTGTCCTCGAGCACACACTTAACGGAGCCCCTACTGAGTGCCGGACACCTTTTTAGGGAGCAGGGGGGAACTCAAAAGAGCAAGACGTGGTCCTTTGGTCTGGGGAGAGTTTTCAGTCTGGAGGGGGTGGAAGCTGAGTAAGTGAATCACCGTGCCAGTGCTGAATGCTTCACAGTGAGTGAGTCCACGAGAAGGAGTCCCATGCCAGCTCTGCTCAGATGTGGCTGTGCGGGAAAGGGGTCCAGGGAGGATCCTAGGTGGCCACCCTCTCTTCTGAGATCCTGAGTATAACACATCTCGATACAACAACTACTTAGCTAGTAGAGCCGAAGGACAATTTCTTCTCTATAGACTAGAATGAGCCGATAGCCTCATTAGAACCCCTCATCCTGAACAGTGCCCACTCCGAGAGTCATGTGACATGAAGGGAGGCCCCATGTAGAAGACAGCGGTCTTGGGAGGCGAGGACTGGGTATGAAGGGTCCCAGTGGGGAGTTGGTACCCATGCTGCTAGCCTGGCTCTCTGCAGGTTGCGTGGGCGGGTGGCAGTGTGGGGGCTGTCCAAGGGCTTTGGCCTGGCCACCCAGGAGCCCTGGATCCAGTTCGCTACCATCCGAGACAACATCCTCTTTGGAAAGACATTTGATGCCCAGCTGTACAAGGAGGTGCTGGAGGCCTGCGCCCTCAATGACGACCTCAGTGTGAGTGCCTGGCCTCGAAACCTTCGCCGCCTGCTTCCCTGTGTGTCCCTGAGACTTGCTTTTCTAGAAGGGAGTTGCTTCAGTGCAGCCGTCATTGATATAGGCCTGATCTTCAGTCTGGGTGCTCCCAGAGTGTCCAGCTGCTTGGTGCTCTTCCCTGTAGGGCCCAGGTGGCTGTGATGACTGGATGTTCCACACGACAGCTGGGAGAGCCCTGAGGCCTCTGGGTGAGGGGAGGGTTCTCTGTGAGGCTTAGCTCCACACAGGTCTGGCTGCTGGTTCCACGCCACGGGCCCTTCCCCACCCCCTGGGAAGGCTTGGAAGAATCCAGGTATCATCTGATTGTAGGACACCCTAGGGAAACCTGCCAAGCCCATTTGGTTCCCCCTACCCACCCCCAATCCAGAGTCCTACACCGATCTGGAAGAGGTTCCAGGTTTCTCCATGATTTCCCCACCTAACCCCCATGTCCCCTCCAGGACTGACACCACAACTACCCCGCCCAAGTAAATGTGGAACTTCCCGGAAAGCAGAGCCTCCGCTTCACCCATGGGCATCCTGTGTCCATTCAGCATTTGTTTCTACATTGAGCATTCCCCAAAGGCCTCCTGGGTCCACTAAGAGCAGAGAGGAATAGCAAATCCTTTCCCTTGGAGAACTCACCATCAGCTGGGTCACAGGTGTTTCCTCTGTGCATGGTGACCCCTAAGCTTAGCAGGCCACGCCAAGGCCACAGGAAGGCTCGAGGTGCATTCCTTCTCTAAACACCTCTGTAAACTTTCACATCAAATATGGCCCTCATCATCTGCCTATTACAAAGGAAGGGTCATAAGTGTGACAGGGTAGTTAAGGATCTGGGTTCTGAGTAGCAGTGGGCAAGGTCGAAAAGGTAGTAATATTTCAGGGTTGTCGGAAAAGTCTTGATGTGTTTTTTCTGTTTTTCTCTGCAAAAACGCATCATGACTTTTCCAACAACTCAGTAACTTCATAAGGTCGTTGGGGGTTCTGATGAGAGAAGGCTTATAAAAGGCTAAGCTCATTGTTAAGTGTTCAATAAATGCCAGGTGTTGCTGGAATTACGGTTTTTCTCCTCTGACTCATTCACCCCAAATTTAAATCTGGTCTCCTCAAGCTCTTTAGCTCTCTTGCCTTCTGCCACCTCTTTCTTACAGCGGGACAGGAAATGGGGTAGAAGGTGTTGGGAGCTCACTGACCCACAGAGGTGCCTGTTCTCTCAGATCTTACCAGCTGGAGATGAGACAGAGGTGGGGGAGAAGGGCGTGGCCCTCAGCGGAGGACAGCGGGCCCGGATTGCCCTTGCTCGTGCTGTCTACCAGGTGAGTTAAGGGGGGGTGGGCGCGGCAGGGGCAGGGAAGTGGGGGGGGCGGAGCCCAGAGCTTTGGGAGCTTGACTGAGTTAGGGAGAAGGAATATTCCCCTCTGTGTCTGGCTGCGTCTCTCTCACATTCCACGTTCCTGCGGTGTTAGCCATCCCATCCCACTTCTGGAGATGGAAGGCAGAAGTAAAGGCCCTTCAGAAAGCATTTTGGGGCCTGAGACACTGGGACCCAGCCAAACTGAGCACTGGCCCTGACTGTGCTTGACTGGAGAGATGCCCACGCGCAGATCTGACCATCTTATGTACCACTGTAGGGCAGTCCTCAGCATTCCTCTCCACCATGTTCTCTGACTACCTCGAGATCAGTCCTTGTTGGGGGGGATCTGGGTTCTGGCCAGAGGACTGGCTTCTGGCCCCTATGGAACCCCTACCTCTCCCTAGGAAAAGGAACTCTATCTCCTTGATGACCCCCTGGCTGCTGTGGATGCAGACGTGGCCAACCACCTGCTGCACAGGTGCATCCTGGGAGTGCTGAACCACACCACACGGCTGCTCTGCACCCACCGCACCGAGTACCTGGAGAGGGCTGACCTGGTGCTGCTGATGGAGGCCGGGCGCCTCATCCAGGCTGGTAATGGGGGGCAGGACCCCGCCAGGTGGGGGGGCATCTGCCTCGGGAAGAGGCAGGTAGGTTGTCATGTGCAGGCTCTGCTCCCTGTGCTGCGTGTGGTCTGAACCAGGTCATCACGTCCTGTCTGATGGGAGAGCCACTCTTGCCTTCATAGAACTGGCCTGAGGAAACAGGAGGACAGAACAGGAGCACACTGGTGAAATGCCAGCGTATTTGGGACTCATGGGCTTCGTGGCAGTGTGCTCTTAGTACTTAGAAGCCCAGGATCTCAGAACAGTCCGATGGCCTCAGAGGAGGAGGACAATCAGGGCTAGAACGGTCTTTCTGTAAAACAAAACAAACTCTAAAGTATCACCCAGAGGAAAATGACCTGCCTCCAAGTGTGCTGGGAAAAAAGCAGGAAACCAGGCTGAACTGGCGTGTCAGGAATTAGGAGGGGCGTGGGGAGCAGCTCTGCCGTGGTGAGAGGTGACTGCACAGCCGGCTCATGTGCGACTCTGGCTCTCTCTGAGGGATGGCCTTTTGTCATCCCTGGTGCTGGTTGGGCTCCAGGTGCAGAGAGATGGACTTGTGTCCTGCTTAGAGCCTGGGGATCCAGGACAGGAGCAACACACACGTTTAGGAAGGCACAGTAAAGACCCAGAACTCCCCTCGCCTCATCCCTTCTTCCACCTTCCAGGGCCCCCCTCTGAGATTCTGCCATTGGTACAAGCTGTCCCCAAAGCCTGGGCTGAGGAAGGACAGGAGTCTGACTCAGGTATGGCCCATGGTTGGGAGAAAAGGGCTTGCTTTCTCCACCACACTGTAGATTAAAAAATAAAAACCAAAACTTAAAAAGCTCACTTGCTCCTCTGAAACACTGAGGTTTTAATCTGTCATCTTGCAAGCCTAGTTCCTCCATGGCCTCCCTGATGTTTGCAGTTACAACACAGTCGGTACAGAACCCAGAGGAAAAAGAGGGGCCGGAGGTGGAGGAGAGCACATCTGGCCGCCTGCTGCAGGAAGAGAGCAAGAAGGAGGGTGCCGTGGCCTTGCACGTGTACCAGGCCTACGGGAGGGCCATGGGCCGGGGCCTGGCCCTGGCCATCCTCTTCTCTCTGCTCCTCATGCAAGGTGAGAGGGTACCGGGGAGCCCCTTGCCCCTCCCACAGTCCTGTTGTCCAGGTGCCCATCGCCGCCTTCACCTCATACTAATTGTTACAAAGCCCAGAGACTCACCGAGCATTGGCAGCAGCTGGGACAAGAGGCATGCCTCCCAATTCTGAGGGTCCCAGGGGCTAAAGGGGTGCATGCCATAGCTGTCTTTGATCTGCCCCCGAGGCCAGCTCCCACTGTAAAATCTGAGGTCATGTTGGGGGGCCAGAGGAAAGGAGGCTAGGAATCAGAGTAAAGGGCAGGGGAAGGGGATGTTTGAACAGAATGAGGGAGACAAGTCTGTCTTATGGACTTCTTCCTGTCCCCACCCAGCCACACGCAATGCTGCCGACTGGTGGCTCTCCCACTGGATCTCTCAGCTGAAGGCTGCCAAGAATAGCTCCCAGGAGGCACCAGCCTCTGCCAGCCTGGGTGCCACAGGACTCTTCTCCCCGCAGCTGCTCCTTTTCTCCCCTGGAAGCCTCTAGTAAGTGACTGGGGCTGGGAGGAGGCCTTCTGCTCCCAGAGTGGTTGCCAGGCAGGGGGTGAGTGCTGGGGGCTGGTAATTCCAGGGGCTGTGTCTCCTAGAGGGTTGGGAGAGGTGTACAGGGAGGGTAAGGGACCCCTGAGTGGCCCTACCTTTGGTTACCCCCAGCCTCCTCCTCACCACCCAGCACCCCAGTGTTCTCACTGCCTGAAGCTGCCCCCAATGGCTCCTCAGACATCCGTTTCTACCTCACCGTGTACGCAACCATTGCTGGGGTCAACTCCCTCTGCACCCTCCTCCGGGCAGTGCTCTTTGCAGCAGGCACCCTCCAAGCAGCGGCCACCCTGCATCGACGCCTACTGCACCGAGTTCTCATGGTGAGGGGATGACGGGTGTGGGGCAGTGCTGTCCTAGCCCACGGAGTGTCCTCCCCGCAGCGCCACCCTCCGCCCCTAATCCTTATATCCTATAATCCGCTCCTTATAGAAGGGTGAGAATGACATCCTCCGAGACACAGAGAGGGCACGTGGCAGAGTGGCCTTCTGGATTCAAACCCAGTTATCTAAGCCAATAGTTTCCTCATCTGTAAAGTGGGACAAGCAAGAGCATCGACCCAAAATTACAGTTTTGGACTTCAGGTGTGGAGGGTTGACCCTTTAGATTGTGCAGTGCCCCTTTTCTGTTTAATTTCTTTATCCACATTTCCATTCCCCACTTTTCTAGATTGCTGATCAAAGTGTGTTTCATCTGTACCTTTTTGCAAAATGCCTATGTTTTGTGTGCACATAGTTTTAATTTATGTAAATGATGTCATGCCAGATCTCGCAATCTGTTTCTTACCGTTTTTATTTAGGGCTGTTTTTAAGGCCCATCCCTGTTGCTTTGCATATATCCCTGCTTATCCCCATGCACTCATTATGTTAATTAAATTAATAACACTTTCCATGTGCTAATTAATTTAATTAGTGCTAATTGAATTAGGGCAGTGTCTAGGACAGTGTCTGGCACACACTCAGTGCTCACTGAACAATTATTAATGTTTTGTTTTTTAAATACTTATTTTATTTAACTTTACTTATTTATTTATTTTAATTTGACCAGAAAGGGACAGAGTGAGAGAGAGAGAAAGTGACAAAGTAAGCTGCCAAGTCCAGGACTCGAACCAGTCGGCCATAAGGGAGTCCAGTACCATACTACCTGCCAGCCCCCCAATTATTAATGTTATTAATTCAAAACTATTTCTTGTCCATTATCACATTAGAGCTGCACAATGACTTTGTGAGGTCGGTATTCCCGACCATTCTATTCCCATTTTACAGATGAGGAAACAAGCTGAGAGTTGACCTGACCTGGCCAACGCTCACGTGTGGAGAGCCAGGCTGTGAGCCCAGTACTGCGAGGGTCTTCCCACTGTCCTCAGGGAGCAATTGCCCACTGTCCTGCCACCCCTCTAGGCGCCGAGAGGACACCCGCACGCTGTGAAGGGCTGAGCTTCTCATAAGTCGGCATTAGGAGGTGCCCCAGAAAGTCAATTGGCCTAGTTCCCCGTCAGGATGGGACTGTTCCCAAAGTAAAGGCAGAGACCGAGGCTGGTGCAGATGTGGAAAGGGAACAGCTGTCGGTCAGACCGCACCTCCCAGCGGTAGTCCAGCAGCTAGCCTTAGGACGGTCTTGCAGACAGACTGTGCTACACCTGGTGCTCTGCATATGGCCCTGAGCCCTCCTTACAGCCCTGTGAGTTGCAGTCCCATTACTGCCCCCATTCGTCAGATGAGGAAGGGGGGGCTTTCGGGAAATTAAGAAGTCCCTTGCTGTGGAGAGCATATACTGGTATGTCTTCGTGTGTTTGTTTTTGCATCTATTTCTAATCCACAGCCTTCCCCACTCAATAAAACGTATTCAGCTGAGCAAGTCCCAGCACCTTGCCTGGGGTCTCACTTCTCCTAAGTGGCAGAGCTGGAACTTGAGTTGCATTCTCTCTCCAGGGCCTGAGCTCTTAACCATGGGAAAAGATGTTCTTCCTGACAGCTAGCTAAATCTTACTGGCCTCAAGTCCCATCTTCTGGACAGAGACTGGCTCCCTGTCCTTGAAAGAGTAGTAGGCGTGTCTCGAGCCAGTAGATGGCATGGCATGGTGGTTAAGAGTGCTGGACTCTCACATGGCCGACTGTGGTTCGAGTCCTGGACCTGGAGGCTTGCTCTTTCTCTCTCTCTCTCTTTTTCTCTCTCATGCTCACTTGCTCTCTCTCTGGTCAAATTTTTAAAAATAAAATAAAGCTAAATGAACTAATTCTTTAAATAAAAATAATAAAAGAGGGACCAGCAGTTGGCATAATAGCTATGTCGCTGGACTCCCATGTGGTCAACCATGGTTCAAGTCCCAGACCGGGTGGCTTAAACTCATGCCAGGCACATCTGCATGTGTGTCCAAGATCCCAAGAGAAAGGAGGAGAAGGGATTGCAGCGTAGCCATCCCCCTTGGGGGGTGATTTCTCACTTTCTGTCTCTCTGTCTCTCTCTTTCCTTCTGGCGAGTGCACACGCCTTATACCAAAAACCTCTCAAAAAATAATAATAAATTTAAAAAAGAAAAGAGTAGTAGGCGTGTCTAGCACAGAAGGCAAGGAGTGGCCAGCGTGGTCTCTTAGGCTCATCCTGGCTAGGGAGGTAGGAGTCTCATTCCCACCCTGGATGTTCTTCCTCCAAGCCCCACCAGTCCCTCCTCTCTGCCCCCAAACTCCAGAGATACTTTACCCTGTTTCTGTTCTCTGCCTTGGGTCCCCCTTCCTCCTCCACCAACCCCGTTTCTGCCCTTGCAACCAGCTGCTCTCTCCCAGGCACCAGTGACTTTCTTCGACACCACACCCTCGGGCCGGATCCTGAACCGTTTCTCCTCCGATGTGAGCTGTGCAGATGACAGCCTGCCCTTCATCCTCAACATCTTCCTGGCCAACGCAGCAGGCCTGCTGGGCCTTCTGGTTGTGCTGGGCTCCGGCCTGCCCTGGCTGCTGCTGCTGCTGCCGCCTTTGAGCATCATCTACT